ACCTCTGCAAATGACTTCCAAGGTGCTGGAATGGATGATGGAGGTGTGGTGCTAAGGGTTGTAGTGCAAATGGACCAAGAAAATTAGGGTTTTGGAGCTTGGAATAGTGACAATGGAGGAGGGAGGTTATAAGCCTTAAGCAAAAGTGTTCAACCCTTAGATATGAAGAGGAGGGCCTCTCTTATAGAGAAGAGAGGCCAAAGCTTCTCTTGGAAGCTTCAAAGATCCTCCATACACGTGTATAGAGGATGCACCAAATGCCCCTCAGCTGGCACAGCTGTAAAGCATTCAGAGAGGGCAAAAAGCAAGAAGCAGGCCGGCCAGTTCAAGTGGCCGGCCGGCCACCCCCCCTGGTCGGCCGACCAGGGGTCAAAAGGGTCAACAAAATTTTCTGGCCGGCCACCCCAGAAAGGTGGCCTCCCAGATGAGTGCAACATAGCTATGTAGAGAAAAACCAGAAAATGTGACCCAGGAGAGAGAAAAGCTAGCTTTTAGAGGGGGTAAGAAGAGAAAACTAGTCGGCTTACCATATTGGTGGCCTCCCAGATGAGTAGATCACAATGGTGTGGTGGGAGGCCAGAAATTGTGGCTCAAAAGTGGGAAAAACCAGCTTTCGGTCGGAAAAACCAGCTTTCGATCAGAAAAACCGGCTTTGGAGAGAGAAAATGAGGAAAATTGGGTTTTTAGGAGAAAAGGTGGCCTCCCACCATCCTACCACCTTCCTAACAATGAAAAAAGGGTTCCTACCAAAAATGGACCAAAACGGATGCAAAACGAAGGTTCGGGGGCCAAAACGCGCGGTTCGGGGCCCCAAAAACAGGCGGTTAGGCACTGAAAGTGGCATATGACCACGAAGGTGGTCTCCCGGTCCACAGTGTCCCTTTAAAGGGAGGAAATAAGGTGTGTGCCAAAAACCGGAGCAATCGGAGGTAGTTAAGTGGTCCCGAACCGAGGCACACGGCCGACGGCTCCGAAAATCGGAAACTGGCCTCCAAACGGGAAAAATGGCCTACGACCACGAAACGTAGCCTACGGCCACTGAAAGATGGTCTACGAGACCTCTCCATCCCTTTGGAAAGAGAAAATAGAGAAAATAGGACTCGGTTCGCAAATCGAGGCAAGGCACAAAAAGAGCCTCGAAGTCCGGAGGCAAGGCTCGCAACCGAGACTCTGAAACCTCAAGACGAGCACAATATGCAACATCATCGAGCGCTCAACTGGTGACGTCTGAGTCTAAAGGTCGGTCAAAAATTGGGTGTCTACAGTTGCCCCTCTTTGACAGAACTCGGAAGTCATTCGTGACGGGAGTGAATGTCAAAGCCCAGAGACGACCTATTTTTGACAAGGCCGAAGACTCAGACAAACATACAAGATAACAAAGATGTGCCCGCAGGCAGGGGGCAAAATGCAAAATGATATGCACAAAGCTTGACGTAAATCATGATCATGCAAAGCAGCAAGCTGTAACGAAGCGCACACGCAGCAGTTTTAAGCAAGAATACCAGGCAACAACTACATTTCATGCAGTAAGGATGTAAGAAAATTATGCAATCTCAAAAGTGAACGAAGTGTGATAGATACACAGAGGGAGTAAGTATGTGCAATAGACGCACAAAGCAAGTGTAGTGATAGATACACTAAAGTGAACATGTGATAGATACACAAGGCGTGCGTGTGATGGATACACAAAGCGAACATGTGATGGATACACAAAGTAAACGTGTGATGGCTACACAAAGCGAGCGTGTGATAGACTACATCGAATGCAGACAAACAGGGTGTCGATGGGAAAGTGCATCGCAATGCGAGAGACACGCGCATAACAACGCAAGCTAAGTGTGAGGGTATAACAATACCAATGAAACATGCACAACAATGCAGGTGGTATGCATGAGAATGCAAGTGACATGCATAACAATGCAGGATAAGTGCAAATTCGAATGCGTGTTTGACGCGAAACAATGAGCAAAGAAATGCAAGTTTCGACGAGTGCAATTCAATCCCGACCTCCGGTTTACCTCCTGGAAGGGTCACAACGTGATCAAAAAGGATACATTTTGCTCTTGACGAGTGACGATGAAACACGCATCGAAAGTTGGAGTTGGAGTTCCCGCGGAGGGATTTCGCGACGAAAAGTGCACTTTTCTTGTACTTTCTCGGGTGCCGGGGACTCCGAGGACTACCAAAATTTGCAGAGACCTTGGAGACCACCTTGGGAACACCACCGACCAGGTTTGGAGTCCAGGGGAGGCCACCGACCAGGTTTGAGTGCAGGGGGTGGTTGGCCTACTAGAAAAGGTGGCCGACCGACCACCTAGCCCAAATTCGGGGCAATTTGGTACTTTCACACTTGGATCTTTAAGTATACTCGGCCAAAGCTCTTTTTGCTCACATCTTCAGATCCAAAATCACCTCCTCCTCCTTCCTAGAACATTTTCTCCCTCAGATCTGCGCTTTATACGCGTTTTCCAATGCCCCACGCCAAGTTGTTTCGCGAAAACTTTCAGTTCTCTTCACTTTGAACCGATTAAATTTTCATTTCGGAGCTTCTTTTCTCCATTTCACCACTTGAGGTAAGTTTGTCTCAACATTTGGAAGATTTTCTTAGGAGTTGACTTTTGTTGACTTTTTCATTTCCCGAGAGTTGACTTTTTCCAATTTTGACTCGTTTCGCTCATTTTGGCTCCTTTTTGCAGATTCCCTGAGATGGCGGGTCAATTTCCCCATGGCGGAGGTTCTCCAGATGCCGGAGGCGATCCAGATATCATGTCTCTACTGCCGAGGATTCGGCCATTCATTCCCGAGAGGTATGACCCTCCGGCACACGTCCTTCCTCAGGCGATTTTCGACCACTTTACCGACTTCGATCCTTGAGCTCCTGTGGACCTGCTACTGCGGGAGTCGGAGCCCCATCTCTCTCATCAGGCACGAGAGGTACGTACTTCACTTTTTAAATTTCCTGCCTTAATTCTGCATTTTCCATGCATTTCATGCTATGTATGCTTATTGCTCGTTCTGAACACATTCGCATGCCATGCTTCTGCCCATTTTAGCACACAACTTGTTCTGCATGCTTAGTCTATAACACAATACTCCGTCTTGAACACACAGCTCAATCACTTGAATCACTAAAATCTGAACACACAGCCCAAATTTAATTGTGAACACGCAGCCCACATTTGTTGAAAGTTGAACACGCAGCCCAAGCTTTAAATTTCTGAAATCTGAACACATAGCCCAAATTTGATTGTGAACACGCAGCCCACATTTAATTGAAGGTTGAACACGCAGCCCAAGCTTTAAATTTCTGAAATCTGAACACACAGCCCAAATTTGATTGTGAACACGCAGCCCACATTTAATTGAAAGTTAAACACGCAGCCCAAACTTTAAATTTCTGAAATCTGAACACACAACCCAAATGTGTCAATTCATCTAAAACAAACTGTTTCCTTCCTTTTTTTTTTCTTTCTTCCCTTCCTTTTTCATCCTTCCCAACAAACCAACCGCGGTTGACAAGCTCTCTGTTTTTGCATAACTCAGCAAAATTTCATCCACCGGTCGACCACCTGGTCTTTCAGTTGATCGACCAGCCAAGACAGTTGTCCAACCTCAGCTTCAGTTGGGATTTGTCAAAATGGCTTTGTATCATTGGAGCACTATTGCTATAATTTGACAATTTGCTATTATAGTATGTCTTTGGAGATGCTATAATAACATTTACCATTAGAGATGCTCTTAGATTTAGTATTTATGTAAAATTGTGAAAAATACAAATTTTTGCACCTTTTTTTTTCTTTTTATTTATTTATTTATTTTTTGTACTCAAACTTAGGATGGCCAATTATTTTGAGCTTCAAATTGTATGAAATTGTGTGCATTTGCCAAAGTTCATCTCAAATTTAATAGGGACTTTTAAATTTTTCTCCAATTATACACAAAATTTGAAAATATGTTATTTAAATTTTAAAAACATTTCATCTGTGTTTGAGTTGCTCGGATTAGATCTGCCTAAATTTAACTCCTACATGTATAGAATGATTTGCTGGTGATTATTGATATTTTTGCAACCAAAACAAGCTTATAGTATGGGTCGGAAGCTCAGGTTCAACAGGCTGATCTATAATTGGGCCATATTTTTAGCCCAATCTCCTCCCATGTGATTTTGTGAAAAATGTATTTATAAACTTCTTATTCAATGATCGGTTTTAGAACTCCATTTGTTTATTATTACATGTAATCGGGACGGTTTAATGCGGTTTATCTTAATTGATTATACTTTTTTTTATTCTAAAAATTTTTGACAAATTATTTGATTAAACTTTTGCTTATAATTTATTATGTAAAAATAATTTATGAAAACATATTTTCAACTGTGCAAAGAAAAACCAACCATCATCGACAATGACCTTGTTCTGGTATGAAGGTAAGACTTATAAATTTATGAAAACATATTTTCAACTGTGCAAAGAAAAACTAGCTATAATGAAACATGATTGACATTTCAAGATAAATTTGGTAATACTAAAGCCAAACTAAGACTTGTATCATAATCAGGTAAGATCGGCTACTGAAATCATTTTCACTATCATGCTTTGCCAAGGTTATATACTCTATTAAATACTTAGATGGGGTTTGGCAATTACTTTTCTATTATTTTTTTTTTTCATTTTTTTCTTTCTTTGGGCTTTTGAATACTTTTCCCTATTGTGTTGTGGAGCCCTTTTTAGAGACACGGTGGGATTTCTGAAAGTATTGAAGGTAAAATCATCTTTTCACAAAATTGCTAAAAACAAATTGCTTTTTTATGAAAACCCATCCCAAGCTTTTTCTTTTCTTTTTTTTTTTGGTAATAGAAATCTCAACAGACTTTGTGGGTGACAGCAGGTAGATTGTCCTACTGTTCTTTCCTTCCTAATGTTCTGGCTGATTAGGTTTGTGGGCAACACTCAGTGGATGTGATCTCATGAAATTGTTATTGAATTTGTGTGTTTTATGTTGGTCATGCATCTTTGATGCCAAGGCTGGGATTGCTTTGAATGAACATTTCGTGAAACTTATTGCTTGGTATGACAATGAATGGGGTTACAGGTAATTTCAGTACTCCATTTTACTCGCGTCGCTTGCACGCAACGTTGCGTCGTCCCTTGACACAATCTTCTATGCTTTTGCAGTTCACGTGTGGTTGTCTTGATTGTGCACATGGCTTCTGTTCAAGCCTGATGCTAATCTCATGAGATGATAGAGGGTGACTTTGTTTTGCTTGTGTCGTACTGGTTAGTGTTTTAGGTCCCCTGAGGTTTTGGTTTGGAATAAACTGCGCAAGAGTCTTGTGTAGTCTTGTTTTGGATGTTTACTTATGGAGTCTTTGTGTTATCTTTGTTTCCCTTGTGTTCATAGGAAAAATAATCGAAAATTCTATAATATATGAAAAGTTGGTATAATATATTTGAGGAGTGTTTATTATAATCAATTGTTATTTTCCTGTAAAAGCTTTATTTACTATAGTTTTAGGATATGAGTTGGGTTTGGAATGATATTGAAATTTTCATATTCAATGATAACAATTTTTTGTGAGCTTTTGTGCCTTTCTGTATGCTCGGCTAGAGGACCACCAAAGGTTAAGCCTTCATATGGAATGTTAAGAAGGTTACAAGCTTATTGATGTATTCTCTGCACATCTAAACTTTTTTTGTATGGTTCTGATGTGTAATCCATACCATCATGTCTTCGGTGGCGTGGTTTTAAGCATAGAAAGGATTGAGTTGGATTTTGTTCGATTTATTAGTTAACTTTTGCTGGTCAAAAAAAACAGGGAAGAAGAGGGAGAGTTAATTCAGTTGTGGTCAAAATGTTGTTTTACATTGTGTGAAAAATGTGGTTTTACATTGTGTGAATTGGTTAACAAATTCATTTTCACACCCACCTTACTCTTTATTTTCTTCTTCTATTTGATTGATGTCCGTGAAGCTGGATGGTGCAAAGGGTCTATTTGGTATAGCTTATACCTTCTTGCAAGGTGGACGTTGATAATTAAAAAGTAAAGAGCAAAGTTAGAAATATCATTCTCTCATTTTTTTATAATAATTAGCTTTTTAAGTTATTTTTACTTAATTGCACAAAGCACTAGAACACAAAGTTTTAAATAAATAAATAAAAATTACAAGCAGTCTTTGTTGCACCAAATAGAGATTAACATTTTATCAAAATAGAAATCAACATTTGTTTGCACGATCATAAAAACGGAAAATTATTTGATACTTTAGGATTGTAATGTGTCAGTGTTTTTAATTAATCATCAATTGTCAAGCCTCATGTTACGATAGAAATCAGTGAATTTCACTCTCTCCATCAATCACATTCAATTTAAGGTACCATATAGTGACACTTGAAACACCAAATGACTTCTCACAAGATATTGAATGCAACGTTTTGAAAAATGAATCAAACTAGCCAATTATGGTTATTAAACAAACTTCCCATTGTCCACCTCAGCAGTCTTATCATGGAGAAATCCTTGACGGCTGGAAAGGCCACACATGCCTTTCAAAAAATATAAAAAAATTTAAGGTAAATTACAAATACAATATCTGAGATTAGATTGAAATACGAATTACTTCCTATAGTTTTAAAAATTACATTCTATCTTCTGAAATTTCTAATTTCATAACAAATTACCCCTTTTATTAATAAATCATCAAGTCAATTAATAGTTTTTAATGGTGTTAAAAATATGTTTCTATTAATAATTCAGGTAATTTTATTATTATACAGGAGAGCAATTATAAATTTCATTTTTTTAATTAATTCTGTTAAATAAAAAATTCTAATAAGGGGGTATTTGTAATTTTTCAAACCACAGGGAACAATTTGTATTTTAAGCAAATTTCAGGAGTGTATTTGTAATTTACCCAAAAATTTAATGCCATAAGAAAAAATTACAAAACTAACTTGTATAAAAACTAACTGTGGTACTACATGTATCAATTAGTGTATTAACTAGTGTGCCAACACTAGTTATGACATTATTATTAGCCTCACTCATTATACAAATTACAAATACCAAAAACCTCTTAAATTATGCTATATCATCAATTGGTACATTAATTAGTACACTAATTAATGCATATAGTATTATTCAAAAACTAATGACGCTGAAGTGAATTTATCAAAGTAAATAATATACCAAGATGATTGTTAATTGTAAAAATATTACCCTATATTATTTTAGTGAGAGATTCTTTATGAATTTTCTATAACAATTTTTTCTCTTTTAAAATTTTGCATTCGCTTAATATATCAAAAATGAGACAGTAAAAATTGACAACCCAAAATTATTAATAAAACCGAAATTGTAAGGCTAATTTCAAATTTCATGTAAAAAAAATCAATGGATCAAAAACATTTTTTTATTCTTTTGTTATTTTTACTTTGGATCAATATGCTAATCTCATTGATTTTGTAATACAATTGATTTGGGAAAAGTCATTTTTTAAAGCCAAATTAATGTTCCTAAATTTTATTGCTTTAAATAGAGCCTTCAATAGTTTGTTATTAGAGCTGCTTAATATAACAATTTTGGTGCAAAAGTGATTCTTCAATAATTTGCCATTGGAGCTGTTAAATTTGGCAAATGCCAAATGTGTCAATTCATCCAAAACGAACTGTTTCCTTCCTTTTTTTTCTTTCTTCCCTTCCTTTTTCATCCTTCCCAGCAAACCAACCGCGGTTGACAAGCTCTCTGTTTCTGCATAACTCAGCAAAATTTCATCCACCGGTCGACCACCCGGTCTTTCGGTTGATCGACCAGCCAAGACAGTTGTCCAACCTCGGCTTCAGTTGGGATTTGTCAAAAAGGCTTTGTATCATTGGAGCACTATTGCTATAATTTGACAATTTGCTATTATAGTATGTCTTTGGAGATGCTATAATAACATTTACCATTAGAGATGCTCTTAGATTTAGTATTTATGTAAAATTGTGAAAAATACAAATTTTTGCACCTTTTTTTTTTCTTTTTATTTATTTATTTATTGTACTCAGACTTAGGATGGCCAATTATTTTGAGCTTCAAATTGTATGAAATTGTGTGCATTTGCCAAAGTTCATCTCAAATTTAATACGGATTTTTAGATTTTTCTCCAATTATACACAAAATTTGAAAATATGTTATTGAAATTTTAAAAACATTCCATCTGTGTTTGAGTTGCTCGGATTAGATCTGCCTAAATTTAACTCCTACATGTATAGAATGATTTGCTGATGATTGTTGATATTTTTGCTAGACCATTTTCTCCCTCAGATCTGCGCTTTATGCGCGTTTTCCAACGCCCCACGCCAAGTTGTTTCGCGAAAACTTTCAGTTCTCTTCACTTTGAACCGATTAAAATTTGATTT